CCTAAATGATTCTATGATTCTACTGTTTCCATCCTCCTAATCAGACAGCCTACAGCAGATGCCCATTACAATATCACCCATATTGGGGTGTGGAGGTTTTATTTTCCTTTTTCTGTAGTCCCACAGTGGTCCAGAGACTACAGGCTGAAAACACTGTCTAAACCAATACCAGACTGCCATCCTGGACAGTCCTGCAAAAGTGATTCTTTTCCCAGTGCTTGAGATGGAGCTCCATACAGACACTACTTACACGTAAAGTACCATGGAATGCGTGCACTGACTGCTATGGCAAAAGCTATGGCTAGCTGATAGGCTCTGCTGGTTTCACACTGAACACCTCAAAAATTTACCTCATCTTTGAAGTGTTATCATAAAATTGTCTTGGTGAGGCAGGTAATAACAGCCTTTACTACACCTAGGAAAAGATACAATGCTGCTTCAGGCCCATGGCGTCCAAAATGTAAACAGAGTTTGGGCACTTCCGCCCTTTCCAAGAGCATTCCTTGTCTTGACTTACAGAACTTCTCTGTAGCATGCTACAAACAGGCATGCAGATGCAACTGGAAGTCAAACAAGAAAACCACTGCAGATTGTTTTAAATAAGCTCCAAACTTACTTGTACTTTCTTTAGGAATATAATCTCACTGTGAATGTCTGTAAACTATATGGCTCCCTCTTGTGCCTACTATACCACATTTCAGTGTACAAAAGAATTTAACATGAAGTCATAAATACTGGGGCTCTGCTCACCCTTTAGCAGGCGTGCAATGCCCATAAACGTTAATGGAAGTCACAGGCATACCTTCCAGGGGAAGGGAAGAACCCTGCAGCTTACAAAATTTCCCTCTGGAACAAACTCAAAACCATCTTGCCAACTCCAAGTCCGCTGTGAAGAAAGCACTGCTTCAACCATTCTCAATGCAGAGGACAAATATGCCTTTAAAGTGCATCTGTAAGAACCTTGAGGTATTTTTTAGTTATCAAATTACATATGCTTAGAAAGGTGTCAGTGTGGTTTACAGAGCCTGGCTAACATGCTCAAGGGTTTATTTCTGTCTGGTCAACATCCCACCTGTTTCTGCTTATCAAACCAGACTACAGTGGAGCTTGCAACAGCTGTGAAATTCATAAATCTGCCCATTCTTCATGTGTACCCAGGCTAAGCACTTGGTGTTAGAACTGCAGCCCTCTGAGAAAGCCACCCTTATGGAGAAGCTGGGGAAATGAAACAGACCAGCGCTTGTCAAACAATGTTTAAAACTGCATTAAAAAAGTTTTAAAAGTATCAGAAGTCAAATTATTTTAATAACAGTCTAATTCGGAAAAAAAACCTAAGCATTTGAAGAAATTATTTTTTAACCCTTTTATTCCTGCAACCATTAGAAACATTTTGCAAACTAAAAATGCTGCAAATGAAAATATTTTGCCTGCACAAAGTATTCCCTTTTTCAGTGTTGTCGAAGATCAACAAAACTCTTTTTAGTGTTTTACTTTCTGCAGTAGAATAGTTATCAAGAAAGTAAATATAAGATTTTAATTTAAAAAAAGTGTATTTATACATTTAAAAATATATTAGTCTGCATACCTGAGGCAATATAAAATTCCTGGTCACACAGGACAGCTTTCATTAAAACACTTGTGCTAAAGCAGTTGTAGTACTGAATGAAATGATGGTATACAAGTCTAACATTCACCTTCATAACGCTCTCAGAGTACACTGTCTTTAATAGAAAAGTAGTGTTGCTTTTTTTTTTTTTTCAATTTATATGACAGATTTTTCTCTCCCTGTCTCTTGTTCCTGTTTCCATATGCTTGTGAACTACCCTTAGCACTAGTATTTTGTGGATGAATTTTATTCATAAAATATAATGAATGCATGTAAGTTGATACTAAAATTCATTTCCACTTTTCTGAATAATGAAAAATGTGACTTTCTTTTAGGGAAGAAAGAAGCTTTTTTTTTTTCCTATGAGCTTCTTTTCTCCACCATTTCATAAGTTACAAGCTCTTATTTTTGAAAGCAGGAACAGAAATTAAAATGTTTTAAAACCTTTCCATGACTTTTCATCAAAAGCATAATAATAGGCATCCAGTATATTCACTTGGACTCCTGGAGCCAGCTGAAATTATATCTCTTGCTGACATAACATTAACTGAATACTAGTAAAGAAACATTCATCTGAAACTGCGGTTATGTGGCAGTGCTGAAGCATAGCACCAAACAACCAGGACACACCTAAAATTTACCTAATATTTATTACCACTCGTTCTCCAAAAGACAAATTAAATAAAGCATGTGATTCCTACCTGATCTACCTTGATGCTCACATTCAGCCCAAAGCAACAGCTGTATTATACATGAACATAAAACAAGCAATAAAAGCATCTGTTCGGAGAGTTAAAAAAAAATCTAGTCTACATTTCTGACAAGTGACCAGAACCCACATTTTAACAGTTCATACAAGAGGCAACAAGTACAGTACTTAACACTTACTTAGGTATACTAATATAAATTTCAAAGATAAGATAGTAATTTATTTAAACACTATTTCTACAAAGTTTTCCTATTGCTGCAGATCAAACTGATCTGAATTGGTCCCAACAACACCAGACTGAGAAGTCCTCCCCCAAGAGCTGCCGAATTGGCTTCTATAGAATTGCAAATGTAAACCAGAAAAGATAATAGTGCAGGGTATTAAAGGCTTGTTACCATACACACACAGCACACCACCGTAACTGGGGTTCTAAAGAAAGTCTGCCCCTGAAGTCATCTCACGTACATTTTCTTTGCTCAAACTGTAGCTGTTACTGTAGGATCAGTCTACATGTATTCACTAATCACTGAGCAGCAGTTCTGAAATACTGGACACATGGCAGTCAAAATCCATGGTGTCACCCTAGGTCTCATTTTCCATATATAAAACTATTTCAGAGGATTTTTTTAAATTAATGTTGGGACCACAGAACTTCTCACATAATACTACTAGTGCAGAGTTAGTCAGTGAAAAAGATGGAACTAGCCATAAGGACTGTATACCTGTTTACTTGCTGCAAGAGCATGAATAACAGCTGGATAATGTTACACAATATTCTGCTCAAAACTTTCTCAAAACAGTAGAACTATTTAGGGGTAAAGAGATATTCTAAAGAAATAAAATTTAGGAGCTCTGTTTGCTCAGGCAGTAGTATACTTTGAGCAAAAAAGTGGAAAGCTGGACGGTCAAGCCCAGACTGGCAGCCTAGGCTAGTATGTGGCAAGAGAAGACAGCTGGCTTAACTATTTTTTCCTGAACTTTGACACCCGACAAGAAGAATTTTTTTTCCTTACTGATATTAAGGCCATTGTTCCTACCTTACACCTTGCCTGAAAATTAAATGCATCTTCTTTGGGTTTCACTCACTGTTTTCAATGACTTTAGGCTTCAAAATGCATCCCTCTGCTCCTTATACTTGAGATAAATTGACACTGTTTCAATCATCTTATGTTCTTCAAACACCAAACAGCTAATAAAAATAATGTAACTTTTTTTTTTTTGACTTAAAATAGTTAATAGAAAAGCTTAAATAGAAAATCAGAGCTTGGAACTCTGATTATGTTAAAGGAGAACAGAACTGCTTTATGTCTTCTGACCTCCCCTACAGCCAAAAAAAATACCTGTATATCACACAATTGTAGTAATTCAGTACTTAGTCATATTTTTTTTACATAGATTGTGCCACAAAAAGCTTTGGATGTCTGGACACTGAGCGCTACCTTGACAGCACCACATCACCATTCACTCACAGCATCAATCATGTCTAGGCATCAGTCAGTTCCACCCTAGAAACTCAATTTAAATCCTTATTCCAGAACATCGTGAAAAGTTCACTCATCTCAAGCCTCCCTATACTCAAATTGGGTTTATTTTTGTATTTGAAACCAATCAAAATAATGTTCAATAGAACAGACAACAACAGTTAATCCGTGGTCATCGGAAATACAATATACGCAGTGGTTTTATTCTGTGTCAATTAACAACTATAATTTTACTTTATTTACTAAAAACTATACATTTTTCAAAGAGTCACAGAGGCATAGGTTGTAGATCTCTGCAGGTCACCTAGCCCAACTTCCCACAGGCAAACTTCTGGAGTCTGGCTACCGGAAGCAAGTTGAAAACAATAATTGGATCATCATTTATCACCTTTTCCCCAGCATAAACAAATCCAGCTCCTTCAGAATCTCCTTGTCTGGATAAAGGGCTGAAGCAAATGACAACTTAATAGCAATCCTCTGATCTCATTTCAGTTTGTCATGTCTTGTGCAGTGGTGGGCCCAAAGCCATACAGTATTCCAGATGAAGCCTCAACCCAATGCCAAAGGGCAGCAATCACTCCTCTCAACCAACTGAATACTTCCTTATATATTTCATAAGCCTACTGAACTGTGAAATTTTAACAGTGGTTCAAAAAACAGCATGAAATGGCTTTAATGATTCAAACCTTTAAGACCGTTGCTCTATTTAGCATCACTGTTTTTACACCTTCCTCAATAATCGTCATAAGAACAACATATACTATATACTACTTTTAAGATGCATACCTGAATAACTTTGTAGAAATAGGCATACTGTCGAGCTGTATTTTTATATTGGCTAAAAACATCGTGTATGGCCTGAGCGGACTGGAGATACTGCACTTCATCTTCTTCAAAATACAGAGGAGTGTCATATTCACTGGGAAGTGTCTGGATGTAGGGCAGCCAGAAAGAGTTTGGGTTGGCTCGCTCACAAAGAAGATGGAATGCCAATGTTATATTGCCCATTGCTTGAAGAATTCGATCTTGGGAATACAGGGATCCTGAATTAAGCCAGAAAGGTGAGGCACTAAATTAATTGTCCATGTAACAGATCCTAGATTTACTTTAAAACGAACATTATGAGATAACATGTAAGAATTGTCAACAACAACAAAAAAAAACCTTTCAGCTTTCTAAAATTTATCTGCCCACATTGTATTAGGCTGCAAGTTATTTGACATAGTAAATGCCTCTTGCACAACTGCATAACAGAAGACAAAGAAATTAGAACAATACTTTCAGTACCTCAGAATGTTTTTATCTCCAAGTGTTATAAAAGCTACATAGTACGTGTTCAAAAGAACACGCACTTCTAGAAGATATCTAGGGCTCTCGGCCAAAAACAAAGAGGAAAATTAAGTTCTTTCCACTGACACTTCAAGCTTCTAGGTATTCCAAACCTGATGGTTAGCATGACAAGCAACTCCTGTAATAAAGGCAATCAGCTTAAAAAAAAAAAAAATAAAAGTCTGCTATTGAATGACCCCATACATAACAAATTTTTGCTTAAAAACTTCCTTAAGCTCTTACCCAATACGGAATTTTTTGCTGACTCAACTGTCATCAACAGTTTTCTAGGAACCCACAGAAACAACTCTTCAGCCTACAGAAAGCAAAAAACGCATAGAGGGTCAGTGAGCATTTAAATGATATGCCAAGTACCTCAAACATACATCATTATTAAATTACAGGTTGCTTTCTTTTTTATTTTTAAAATCAAAATTCATTCTTCTCTTCTACTGAAAATTACACAAACATGCTGCTTCCTATTGCAGCAACCAAATGTTACCACTTGCATTATAAAAAGGTTAAAACAATGACACTTGGATTACAAAATATAGTGCTATAGTTTGGCACTGCTAGCATGTAGGTTGCCCACACAACCTCAAAGCTACCAGATACATCACACTGCTATATTTTTCTCCCAGTAGTTTTTTTTTCCACATTGCCTATTCTTTGAAAATAAGAACTGTTCACGACTTTTATCAACCAGTGGTGGTAGCCTTCTTCGCTGTATGCTACTAAAGCCCTACGATGAATATAATATGCTTGTTTTCTAATAGTCTATCCACAACAGCTGATTGTTCTTCAAAGCTGTTTCCCATCTGTAAAACAGGAATGGAAAGAGGCAATCTTAAATGCTGACCTTTTAACAGTTAGCCGACTGTGTGTGACTATACACCTTACAGGATGATCGAAAGGTACTCTTTAAAATTATCAGGTAATTTAGAGGTTATGTTTGTTGGTTGGTTTTTGTTGGTGGGTGGTTTTTTTGTGTGTGGGGGTTTTGTTTGTTTGCTTGTTTGGTGTTCTAGCTTTGTTTTGTTTTAATTTTTTTATTTTTTTTTTCACTGGAAAGTAAGATTGCAAATACCTCTGAGGCAAGAAGGCCAGTGCTTTAAAAGAAGGGACATGAATAGAGAAGAGACTAAGTAGCTAGAAAATGTGGAAGAGAGGGACACATCAAAGGGGTACTCTGGCGATTAGGTGAATAGTTATAGGCAACAAACAATAAAAAGGCTGAGTGAAAATTCACAGTACCATCCAACAGTCATCAGAAATAATACTCCATTTTATCAATAGCTTTATTTCTCAAGTATGCAGAGTTGAGAGCATTTCAGAGCAGCAGTTTCATAAGCAGTCAAATGGGGGAAGGGAAGCTGGTGAGTGTTTCAGAGCTCTGCAACTACATTCCAAACAATTTTCTAATCTAAGTCAAACGTTCACATGCTCACCTTTATCTCTCTTGTTGCTTTCAAACCAAACCCCTCCTCTTCAAAGTTAGCTATTTCAAAACCCTCTGTGGATGCTCCATTTTGAGTTGCCCACTTTATCAATTCAGGGAAATAGTCATCTCTTTTTCCATCAAAGACCACAGACAAACCTATATACACAATTTATTAAAAAACAAACGCAGAAATAAAAGGATCTAGAAAGATAAAGAAGTTCAGTATAAAAGCACACGTAAAAAGCTATCTGCTATCCTACAGCAGTTCTGCTTTGAAGTAGCTGAGTCAGAACTGGCCTTTGTTAAGTGTTAGTCAACAGTACACATATGTCATACACAATTTTCATCAACTAAAATATTCTGACAAACTGGCTTACTAGTCATCCTAAAAACACAACCACCCTAAACTGAGCTGTGATGAAATATGAAGCTCCCCTCCTCCTCTGCTTTTAAATAATCTGAGTGAATATATTTCTTAGCTTCATACTGATGAGAAATGTAATCACCACGACATGTTACTACAGACACAAGGAGGAATTTGAGAGACAAGCTGCAATTTCATTAATTCAGCAATGGAAATGATGATAAGCAAATCTCAAGCTCCTTTTCTCACATAAAAGGCAGTTAGCTTTTTCCTGTAGCATATGGATCTACCAAAATAGCTAGGGACTGATTGTCCTCCTGACATCAGAGCGCTCATCCAAATTTTTACACTTTGCTCCTCCAAAAAGCACGTGGTCCTCCAGCGCAATTGCAATCCTCATTCATTTTCTCAGCTTTCCCCCTTACCGTTATCTGATTCAAGCCTATACGCTATTGTTCCCAGCTATTCTCAGCCAGCTACTTCTGTACCTCTATGCCTCCGTTTTCTTCAAAACAAATTCTAACATCAGATCATGTTAAGTGCTCAAAACCACCTAAAACACTCAGGCCATTTTATGACTGACAACATATCATGAGGAAATTGCATACATCCAACAGTATTTTGGTTAAGCAGAGGAGATAAATGCATCTTTAGATTAAAAGGACTTTAGGAAAATAGCATTAGTGTATTTGAGACATTCCCTCTCACCCCAAATCACACATTTCAAGACCCAGAACCAATCAGATTTGCAGTTAAAAGTCTAAGTATAATCTAAAGCTCTAGTCTTTTATCATGCAGTATAAAAACTCAACATCAATAAAGTATGTTTTTAATGAGAATGTGGTATTGCCCCGGTTTGGGGTAGAACAAAACGAATTTTGTTCAATGATTTTACTTTTCAGCTAAAACTCTAACTGCACTTGCTGAAGTTAACAGTGTATTTTCTCAGGCAGCCTCTGCTTCTAGCAGGGATAACACTCCATGTTCAGAGTTACCACCAAGGACTGGTGTGCAGACCAAGGTCACTGCACAATCCTGTGTACCACAGGGAGGTACACGGGACGGGCAGATAGTAAAGCACACCTGCAGGGAGGAGTGGACAGGACAGGTGACCCTGAATTCACCAGTGGGGTATTCCATCCCATATCCCTCATATTTGGTATAAAGCTGAAGGATCACAAGGGTCCTCTATTTTGCTTTTTCTTCAATGACTGGCATCCGAGGAGGACTCTGCCCATTCTGCCTTTGATCTGGAGACGTGTGTTCCTGAACCCAGTTCCAGAATCCATTTGCCACCAAGACCAGCCTGGGACTTTTCCCCAGGGGCTGCTCCCCAGCATCAGGGGCGACGGTGACGTATTGCCATCGGGGGGAGCTGGGTTCAACACTGCTTTTGCGCATATTTGTATATATATTCCATATTATGTTCATTAAAACTATTTTACTTTTCTAATGAATAAATCTCTCTCCCTTATTCCTTTTCTCTTCCCCATTGCGGGGGGAGAGCGGTTAACAGAGAGCATCTGTTCCAGGTCTGGGGGCAGCCCTGACCCTAAGCCATGACAGGTATACAGTGTTTCAGCTTCATTTTATTTTTTTTCTCCTCCTTTATTTTTTTTTTCCCCCTCCTTTTTAAAGCTGACATTTCTCCTTTATTTCATACCCTCTTCAGTATGTTGTTTTCTCTGGAATATATTCAGAACTAAGGCATCACAAATCTAGTAAAACTAGTTCTAACATCTTATAGAACCTGATAGGTGTTTATACTGCCCAGGACTTTGCTCTTTTGACCTCCTACACTAGCCACTGGAAGATATTAACATCCAGCTTGCATTTAGAACCATTCTGTAAGCATCTCTGAAATGCTCCCTTTGTTCCTCATATATGACATTGTCCAATACTTCCCACAATTTTCCATATTAAAGAGAAGAGCAGTTCCTTTAAATTGCAAGCTCTATTGCAGAGCGTTTTCTTTCAAAATAATATTGAAAAATTAGCTTTTATTTAAAACTTTTACTAATTAGTCACACAAGGAAAAAATCTTAGAAAATTAAAAATACTCAATTTTCAAACTAGTTTTCTATAACCAATATAGTTTCAGTTCACATTCCGTAATCTGCTGTTCTACTCACGAAAAACACAAAGTATGATAGGTTAGTCAGTACATTTTCATTTGTACATCTAAGAGGTCCCAACTGCAATTTAATACTTCATTTGCTAACTATTTAAAGCCTTTATTAAGCTGGAAAAATGTGTAGAATAAATTACTATATTCGATTACAAAATAGTTCTGAAAGACACCATCCTATTCATACTTACTATATATGTAAAAATGTGACATTAAAACAATTTGTGTGTCAACAATGCTATGATTAGTTGGCTTTGCACCTTTCAAGGAAAAAAATTTGTCCTATTAACATAATACTGTTTTACTAATTCTTGCACAGCAGCCATTTCCCCCATGAATGTTTTGATTGTTCTGGCTCACAAGACAGATATAGTGGGCAGCCCAACCTCAACACTAACTCTGTTCTTGTTAACCTGAATTATGTTTTACCATAACCCACATATTACAGAATGTTAGGGTTTGGAAGGGACCTCTGGAGATCATATTACATCATAAAACTCAGGACATGTACCATATGTTATAGAAGTCATGGCACAGCAAAACAAGGAATCAGGTTCACCTCCACAGAGCTACAGGACGCAGCCACTCAAACTGCCAATAACTGATGTTCAGAGGTTTAAAAGTCCTTTCATGAATTAAGATTCCTATGCATTATTCAGAATTACTAAAAACACGTGTGAATATTTAAAAAACATTTCAAGTCTCTTAACTACAGTCTTCTGCTTTTTCAAGCAAGTACATCAACAAATCAAGCTCCACTTTAAATGTAGTCTGGCTTTTTTGCCATCACCACATAAATATCAGAGAAAAAAAAAGAACCGTTTCAGGACTTTTTCAGGTATGACCATCCCAGATCTATTCATTCCAATGTTAAAAAATTGTTTCTCTGCCATTAAAATACAGCAGTCATTAGAGAGGTTAATTTTACTAAAATTACATGAAAAGCATTTTTTACAGCATACCTCCAGATCAAAACAAAACTAGCATAAAAATAAAGTATCAACATGGGGAGTTGTTGCAGAACATGCTGGAAGAAAACTGGTCTAATCTGAAAAATAAGCATAAGTTAAACATAGGAAAATTTGGAATAAAACTCCACATTAGAATCACAGAATGTCTGGGCTGGA